TATGACAGACAAAATGAGAAAATAAAATCCAGAAAATCACACAGTAGGATTTTTAATGAATTTATTTGGATTATTATAGTGGAAAATAAGTATTTGGTCACCTACAAACAAGCAAGATTTCTGGCTCTCACAGACCTGTAACTTCTTCTTTAAGAGGCTCCTCTGTCCTCCACTCGTTACCTGTATTAATGGCACCTGTTTGAACTTGTTATCAGTATAAAAGACACCTGTCCACAACCTCAAACAGTCACACTCCAAGCTGTACCTTTAAATGCATAAAAAATTTGAGTTAGGAAATCTTTACACATAAAAGTGTATTGAATTGGTAATACATTTACATTACATTTACGTCATTTAGCAGACGCTCTTATCCAGAGCGACTTACAAATAGGTGCATTCACCTTATACGTTATATGATTTTCACTGTGAATACTCTCCAAAAATATAAAGACCACAGAAAACAAATAAATGGCTAAAAATGCATGTATGATGCATGCAGTGGGTTTCGACTACATCTTTTCAGTCAATGCAACCAGTAGAATGAGGACAACCCTAGTAAAGTGAAATAGGAAGTGACATCGTTAATGATATATGGACACTTCCCTATGTTTACTGTATTAGGTTTGTTCATCCCTTTTAACTTGTTTTCATACTGTATCAGACACAGACCTTTGTTCAAATACTATTTAGGGTATAGACGGGTTGGCTAACTACATCACGTAAATAATGTGCCCGCATCATTGAGGCATACAAATATTTAAATACTCCATGCATTTGAACGCAGGTCTGTTTGGTCCTAGGGGTATTTGAAATAATTTATCTGGAAATAAGTATTTGAAAATAGTTTCGGCTATTTATAGGAAGTTATTTGAATATACGTTCAAATACTTCAAATAGAAGTAGATGATTTGGCCACATTATTTGAAAATACTCAAGAACACAGAAAATTAGTGTTTAAACAACAAATACTTAAATATGCATTTATTTGAACCCAGGTCTGATCAGACAACACACAATACAATGTGAAAATGAACAAATAACCAACAAGTGTTATAAACTTTGAAAATAACAAAAACATCTATCATGCATAGGCCTAAATAAAAAGTGTGGGACATGTATTCCTCTTGACATCAGTCTACTTCTTAAAGTCCCTTTAATATTCTTGCTGTTTGGTAGCTACTGAAAATGTTACATCTTCCTCTAAAGGACAGACCAACACGAATGTCGGCCATGCCCAGCGGGTGGTCATCCTATCGCATCTGATCACAGAACATCGACCATCATTATCTGTTCTTTCCCAGACGATTCTACTTGTTCAATGGCCACCATTGTCAACAACAGGTTCAGTAATCCTCATACAATGTCCTCATACGATTGCACTTCACTTGTTTCACTAGTTTCAGTCTCTATATTGGTCCATGTGCACACCAGTGGCGGTCGGTGCCGTTTAAGATGAGGGAGGATGATTGTTTTTATTTTCATGAGCATGGCCTTATTTCTATTACAGCATGTTGGATGACTGTCATTCATATTCCATTCACCCAGCTCAATGTAACATCGATAGGTTAAGGCTACTATAGGTTATTATTATTATTATTATTATTACTACATGATACTCTAATTTTCCCTATACCCATCATCAGGTTGCAACAACCTAGCCTACGAATTAATGTTTACAATATAGGTGCACAGGTCGAGAGAAATTTGAGTAATCAAGATGGCAGACAGTGACATTCAATACCACCTTGCACACTCTTGCCTGCATCTAGCTGATCTAGGTTGTAATCATTAGTCCAACAGTTGGAAAGGAGAGTTTCTATTGGACAAATTCAGGTATATTTATCCCTGTTTGGATACGTTTGGTTCCGTTTAAGAAACGTTTTTCAACAGAATCGGCGGAATGAATACACCCCTGATCACACGCAATTAGCAGCCACATATAAACCGATTGATCACTTTGCTCATTGTATATATAATTATTTCTTGCATCTACACTCTCTCCTCCTCTCACCTTTTCCCTTCACTTGTGGACTTCAGTGCACAATACAACAGCTGTCTGTGACCAGGCGGAAAAAAACGTTCCTAGCTAAACTTTCATGCCATTACCGCCAACCACAGCCTACATCGTTGTCACCATATGAAGGTCATAGTCAACATAACTACCAGAACTAATGCGTTAGTAAATCCGCTAAAATCATGCAGTACAGTGTAGTGAAGTTCACCGGCAGGCCCCGGTGGCAATAAATTAATAAAACCAAAAGCTTACCTTGACTTGGAAGAGTTCCAGTGTTGGATAGCCATAGCCAGCTAGCTAACATAGCATCCCTCTCTGTATGAATCGGGTGTTTGAGTAGGCTAAACTAGCTAGCTGCATTTTCTAGCTAAGTAAGTGAAAGTAAAATATATTTATACTACGAAGTATAGCTATCTCGCTCTCCCTCTCTTGTTTTCCTTAATTTTGGAAGAAATTAATTTGTTCAAAACTGTTCAAATGTTGTCTTTCTCTCTCTTTGAGTCAACGACTCACCACATTTAATGCACTGCAGTGCTAGCTAGCTGTAGCTTGTTATTTCATTACTAGATTCATTCTCTGATCCTTTGATTGGGTGGACAACATGTCAGTTCATGCTGCAAGAGCTCTGATAGGTTGGAGGACATCCTCCGGATGTTGTCATAATTACTGTGTAAGTCTATGGAAGGGGGTGAGAACCATGAGCATCCTAGGTTTTGTATTGAAGTCAATGTACCCAGAGGAGGACAGAAGCTAGCCGGCTACACCATGGTGCTACCCTACAGTGCTGCTGGGGCTACTGTAGACCTTAATTGCAAAACAGTGTGTTTTAATCAATTATTTAGTATAGTTTTATCTAAAAATTATAACTTTTTTAATGTTTCACTATTTTATTTTTATGAAATTCACTGAGGAGGATGGTTCTCCCCTTTCTCCTCTGAGGAGCCTCCACTGCACACTTTCTGTATTTGCTGGGATCTCCTTGTAACGCAGACGCTGGGAGATGAGAAGCAAGTTCAGGGTGAGGGTTTAATAATAAATAAACTTAGACCAAAACAAGAACAGCGTCTGGACATGAGAAACATAACAATATCAATGCTGACTGGGAAACGAACCTGAGGGAGAGACAGATATACAGTGAGGGAAAAAAGTATTTGATCCCCTGCTGATTTTTGTACATTTGCCCACTGACAAAGACATGATCAGTCTATAATTTTAATGGTAGGTTTATTTGAACAGTGAGAGACAGAATAACAAAAACAAAATCCAGAAAAACGCATGTCAAAAATGTTATGAATTGATTTGCATTTTAATGAGGGAAATAAGTATTTGACCCCTCTGCAAAACATGACTTAGTACTTGGTGTCAAAACCCTTGTTGGCAATCACAGAGGTCAGACGTTTCTTGTAGTTGGCCACCAGGTTTGCACACATCTCAGGAGGGATTTTGTCCCACTCCTCTTTGCAGATCTTCTCCAAGTCATTAAGGTTTCGAGCCTGACGTTTGGCAACTCGAACCTTCAGCTCCCTCCACAGATTTTCTATGGGATTAAGGTCTGGAGACTGGCTAGGCCCTCCAGGACCTTAATGTGCTTCTTCTTGAGCCACTCCTTTGTTGCCTTGGCCGTGTGTTTTGGGTAATTGTCATGCCTGAATACCCATCCATGACCCATTTTCAATGCCCTGGCTGAGGGAAGGAGGTTCTCACCCAAGATTTGACGGTACATGGCCCCGTCCATCGTCCCTTTGATGCGGTGAAGTTGTCCTGTCCCCTTAGCAGAAAAACAGCCCCAAAGCATAATGTTTCCACCTCCATGTTTGACGGTGGGGATGGTGTTGTTGGGATCATAGGCAGCATTCCTCCTCCTCCAAACACGGCGAGTTGAGTTGATGCCAAAGAGCTCCATTTTGGTCTCATCTGACCACAGCACTTTCACCCAGTTCTCCTCTGAATCATTCAGATGTTCATTGGCAAACTTCAGACGGGCCTGTATATGTGCTTTCTTGAGCAGGGGGACCTTGCGGGCACTGCAGGATTTCAGTCCTTCACGGCATAGTGTGTTACCAATTGTTTTCTTGGTGACTATTGTCCCAGCTGCCTTGAGATCATTGACAAGATCCTCCCGTGTAGTTCTGGGCTGATTCCTCACCGTTCTCATGATCATTGCAACTCCACGAGGTGAGATCTTGCATGGAGCCCCAGGCCGAGGGAGATTGACAGTTATTTTGTGTTTCTTCCATTTGCGAATAATCGCAACAACTGTTGTCACCTTCTCACCAAGCTGCTTGGCGATGGTCTTGTAGCCCATTCCAGCCTTGTGTAGGTCTACAATCTTGTCCCTGACATCCTTGGAGAGCTCTTTGGTCTTGGCCATGGTGGAGAGTTTGGAATCTGATTGATTGATTGCTTCTGTGGACAGGTGTCTTTTATACAGGTAATAAAATGAGATTAGGAGCACTCCCTTTAAGAGTGGGCTCCTAATCTCAGCTTGTTACCTGTATAAAAGACACCTGGGAGCCAGAAATCTTTCTGATTGAGAGGGGGTCAAATACTTATTTCCCTCATTAAAATGCAAATCAATTTATAACATTTTTGACATGCGTTTTTCTGGATTTTTGTTTTGTTATTCTGTCTCTCACTGTTCAAATAAACCTACCATTAAAATTATAGACTGATCATTTCTTTGTCAGTGGGCAAACGTACAAAATCAGCAGGGGATCAAATACTTTTTTCCCTCACTGTAGGGGAGGTAATCAATGACGTGATGGAGTCCAGGTGAGTCCCATAATTAAACGCAGGTGCGCGTAACAATGGTGGCAGGTGTGCGTAATGATGAGTGAACTGGTGACCTCGAGCACCGGAGAGGGGGAGCAGGAGTAGACGTGACACTCCTTGTTTATTCCTGTTCCTTCACTTGATGTAGACTCCATACTAGTTTTAGTCTCTGTTGTAGCACAGGTTCCCATGCTAAGTGCTGTCTCTGCGCTGATTACGGTCTAGTTGTGGTTCTGGAGCTCATTTTGTTTCCAGTGCTAAGTGTGGTCCTAGAGCTGTTGGAGGTCCCTGTACTAGAGCAGTCTGTGGTGCTGCTTTGACCACCGCAGGCCTGGCAGACTTTTGTCCAGCGCGGGAGGAAGTGGGGGAGCTGCTCCTGGAGTTCCCGGCAGCGCAGGCCATACATCACGGGGCTGAGCGCCTGACTCACTAAGAACACCATGAAGTGGGCCACAGTGGCGGCCATATTGTGCTTCAACCTGGTGATGATGGGCACCAGAGGCAGCAGGTACAGGATCATCTGTAGCTTGTGGATCAGGATGGTGCTGTTGGAGGTGAGATATGCCCTGCCCGGCAGCCTGCCATATAGATGAGCACGTAGCTGGTCATGATGAGCAGCACCAAGAACGCCAACAGCGCTAGGCTGCTGAATCCCAGACGCGGGACTCTCCAGTGTGGTGGAGCACACAGGGTCCAGCTCCACCACAGAAGGACTGGGCGCAGGCCAGGACAGTGAACAGAACCGGGTTGAGCAGGGCCACGAACCAGGCCAGTGCCATGACGGAAGCCTGAAAGTGACGTACAAGCGCTGGGTAGTGGAGCAGCCACAGGATGGACAGGCAGGTGTTGAGGGTCATGCGTGTGAGGGTGATGCCCACGCCATGGCCCAGAGCCACCTGGAAGTCAAATAGAACCCAGCAGTTCAGGCGGCTGTCAGATCCACATCATAGTTGGAGTCATTGAACATAGCTTGTGATTGTCAGGTCACAGCGGTGAAAACCAAATTGGGAATTCACCAAACCCAGGTAATGGTGCCACTGCCAACAACTATGGGTGTCTATCTACTGGAGCTGTGACTGCTAGCCCTTTGCTTCAGGTAACTGTTACCTTCTACATCCTTCTTCCACTTCTTCCTTGTATTTTCTGTCATGTGTCACCCGCTTCATGCATTTATAGATTCTTTATCAACTGCCTCAAAATCGATCGGCTTAGTGGAATAAATTGTTCCGAGTCATCACCTGCCTCTCAGCATAGCAAAATACCATATTTAACACTAGGTCGAGCAAGTAGGCCTAAATCTTGTGATCCTAGGTGTGTGTGCTGTGCTAAGTGTGTGTGAGAGAGGAGATCCGACCTGCATTAGGTGGGTTTGTCGCTAGAGACAGTGAATATCCATAAGTGGAGTGGAGGTCAGGCTGAATCAGGTTCCCTATTATTGGCTACTACCATGTTTGTACATGTTCATTAATAAAGAAATATTAAGGCTGTTAAAATTATTGGACCTCTTGGTCCTCAAGTTGTTGAGCCTAAATAAGGATCTTCAATGGAATTTAGGCTTAGGTCATGAGCACGTTTAAAATATTGTAAACATACATGTACATATCATACAGTGCCTTCGGAAAGTATTCAGACCACTTGACTTTTTCAACATTTTTACAGACTTATACTAAAATTGATTAAATTGTTTCTTTTCCTCATCAATCTCCACACAATACTCTATAATGACGAAGCAAAAACTGGTTTTTATACATTTTTGCAAATGTATTACAAATAAAAAACGGAAATATCACATTTACATAAGTATTCAGACCCTTTACTCAGTACTTTGTTGAAGCACCTTTGGCAGCGATTACAGCATCGAGTCTTCTTGGGTATGACGTTACAAGCTTGGCACACCTGTATTTGGGGAGTTTCTCCCATTCTTCTTTGTAGATCCTCTCAAGCTCTGTCAGGTTGGATGGGGAGGGTTGCTGCACAGCTATTTTCAGGTCTCTCCAGAGATGTTAAATCGGGTTCAAGTCTGGGCTCTTGCTGGGCCACTCAAGGACATTCAGAGACTTTTCCCGAACCACTCCTGTGTTGTCTTGGCTGTGTGCTTAGGGTCGTTGTCCTGTTGAAAGGTGAACCTTCGTCCCAGTCTGAGGTCCTGAGCGCTCTGGAGCAGGTTTTCATCAAGGATCTCTCTGTACTTTGCTCTGTTAATCTTTCCCTCGATCCTGACTCGTCTCCCTGCCACTGAAAAACATCCCCACAGCATGATGACGCCACCACCATGCTTCACCGTAGGGATGGTACCAGGTTTCCTCTTTGGCTTGAATGCTCCTTTGGCATTCAAGCCAAAGAGTTCAATCTTGGTTTCATCAGACTGGTCTGAGAGTCTTATGGTGCCTTTTGGCAAACTCCAAGTGGCCTGTCATGTGCCTTTTACTGAGGAGTGTCTTCCGTCTGTCCACTCTACCATAAAGGCCTGATTGGTGGAGTGCTGCAGAGATGGTTGTCCTTCTGGAAGTTTCTCCCATCTCAACAGAGGAACTCTAGAGCTCTGTCAGAGTGACATTTTTACATTTTTACATTTTTAGTCATTTAGCAGACGCTCTTATCCAGAGCGACTTACATTGAGTGCATACATTTATTTTTATTAATTTTTTATTCTGACCCCCTGTGGGGTTCTTGGTCACCTCCCTGACCAAGGCCCTTCTCCCCCGATTGCTCAGTTTGGCCAGGCGGCCAGCTCTAGGAAGAGTCTTGGTGGTTCCAAACTTCCATTTAAGAATAATGGAGGCCACTGTGTTCTTGGGGACCTTCAATGCTGCAGAAATGTTTTGGTACCCTTCCCCAGCCTCGACACAATCCTGTCTCAGAGCTCTACAGACAATTCCTTCGACCTCATGGCTTGGTTTTTTAATTGAATTTACCACAGGGGCTCCAATCAAGTTGTAGAAACATCTCAAGGATGATCAGTGAAAACAGAATGCACTTGAGCTCAATTTCGAGTCTCATAACAAAAGGTCTGAATACTTATGTAAATAAGGTATTTCTGTTTCTTATTTTTTAAACATTTGCTAAAATTTCTAAAAAACTGTTTTCACTTTGTTATTATGGGGTAGTGTGTGTAGATTGCTGAGTATTTTTATTTAATTACTCCATTTTAGAATAAGGCTGTAATGTAACAAAATGTGGAAAAAGTCAAGGGGTCTGAATAAAATAAATTAGGAATAAAGTTCTGTTATGAGGACACAGCTGAGAGGTACGCTGTTTTATCCTTTAATTTTCAGCAAACATGCACTCCCTGAATCATTCCACCAAATGGTAGTGCTGCTTGTGCAATAATGTATAGGGCATAAGACTGTCGCACAACACAGCAACAGCAGCTAAAAATGTATATTAACATCTCCAATCATTGCCACAACATCCTTTGCTGCAAGGCAACTGACCCTCTTCCAACACAACCACTGTACTGATTGAAAGACGAAACACAAACATACATGGTTTTGCTGGGTAGCAGCATCAAATTTCCATCCAAAAGCAGCAACCTGGTTTGTTAGCATTCATTCATCAAACATTCATTTATCAAACATAAAACATTCATTCATCAAACATTCAACAGTCATCATCATATTTGTCAAAAACGACTTGTACAGTCTCCATCCGAGAGCAATCCCAACCTCTTGCATAGAAACCTCAAGGAACCTATATAGAGTGAAAATATCAAACAAAAAAACGAATTTCAATGAAGGTGCCTGAATTAGAGCTCCTGTCTCCTCTTCCATAACCTGAGTCCCCCTGTACCACACCCTGACCCTGGCCCACAGTCACCCAACAGCGCCGCATGTCTTTACAGAGCTGCTCCGGCCCAGCGTCGGACTCGGAACCTGACTCTATATCAGCAGCGTTGCTCTCTGGGTCCTCGCTGCGCTCCACCATGGTGTATACATCGTAGCTCTCTGGGTCTGTACAGAGTTGCTGCTGCTGGCTCCTCTTCCTCCTGCGGCTGATCTGTTTCTGCAGCTTGCTGGTGAAGAAGACGCTCCAGGAGCCCAGCTCCAAGGCCAGGGCCGCCACCTCGGCCAACACTGAGCCAAAGTGACCCCGCACCACCAGCTCCCAGAACACCAACGAACCACACAGCTGACAGACGCACAAAGAACAGTGGTTAGGGACAGAGACCAGGGTTTGCGGTCAATCATTCAGTTAAATAACCATCAGGGGTTTAAACCACACAAGAGCAAAAACGGACAGATTCACACAGAAAATAAATCAAGAGAATATGGAAATAAACACATTGTTAGATATCACTCAGATACACCCATGTACAGTTACAAAAGGATGGATTCGCATACAGTACACAGTGTACATAATTGCCAATGCATACCACAGACATGCATGCACCGAGTCTCACACAGTGGGCCCATTCACCTTCCTGAACCTGTGTGAGGTGCGTCCGAGTCGTGCCACGTCCTCCATCTCCAGATGGGTCAGGATGTGGAGCAGCAGGGGGTCGGGCAGATGCTCCAGGTAGTCATACTGGCCCTGACAGAGTGCCTGGCTGTACTGAAGGATCCGTGGGCAAAAGGCCACACTCACCTGACCAGGGAAACCATCACACAGGTAGCACCTGTCAACAGGGTCACTTAGCCCCTTGCCCACCGTTGCTTCACTTTTGTTTGTGCTGTGACCAACCTAGCCAAAGCCTGTTACAAGGGCTTTGTAAACCATATCTCTAACTTAGCAACTAGGCTATTTCAAAAGTCTTTCTGGTAAAAGACGCCTCAATAATCGCGACACACGTGAATGTACACAATCTCTAGACCATTGCATCTCTACGACCCCTGCCCTCCTGGAAACTGCCCTTCTGACACACCTGTGAATCTAAACCATGAGGGCACTGCCTGACTTAGCCGACCATGAGGGCACTGCCTGACTAAGCCGACCGTAATAGAGTCATTTAATTAGGGGTTGATTGGGTTACAATCAATGCAGTCATTTTTAGCATGGTAATTTGCTTAACTCGAGGGCATAGGCTTAATTTTTGGCATCTAGGCTACTATCTAGCTAGCTAGTAGTGAGCAGGTGGGTAGTGACCCACCTAAAAACAAAACATTGCCACACCTTTAGACAACATTTCCTAAAGAGTCTCATTAGGTCATTACCCAAGGGATGGATCGAAATTTACAGAATGGTTACCTGGAGGAAAATGGGGGAGGGTCATGCTTTTTCAATTTCAGTCAAGGGGAGGGTTTAGTATTTTTAAAGATCTAGTCCAGGGGAGGGTCATGTAATATGTAATTGATAAAATTTCAATATTTCTCTGTGTTTTAGTATTAGTTGCTTATTAGGATATATATTGATGTGTGCCTGTTACGTGTGACGTGTTTTTATTTCTCCCCATTTTCCTGTGTAGTGTGTTTGTGTGTTCTGGGCATTACAGGTGTGCTGAGTTGCGGCTGACGATGGTGGGCGTGGCTTCGGTCCAGAGTCCTGGCAGCTGTGGCTGATTGATGAGAGTATACCTGTTTGCCGTGTGAGCTCGAAGAAGGGGGGAGAGGACACTTGTTGTTTGGCTGTGTTAATTTATCTTTGTTTGTGTTCCAGCCTGTTCTCCTGATGTACTCCACCCTACCTAGGTCCTGGAGAAGGGAAAGGTAGATCTGCCCATGGGTGTACATTCCCACGTAGATAACCTATTGTTTTATACACTAGGTTAGCCGGGCGGGTGACACCCCTGTATTTTTTGGTAAACAGGCAGGAAAGTGGGTTAGGGTTAGAGTGTGATAGGAAGGTTTAGGTGTGTAGAAGAGGAGGGACCTTTTGTTTATTTTCATTAAGTGGACCCCGTTCCCAAATATTCCCTTCTCTTACCTTCCCTGGTTTATTTGATTGATTTGTTGTTTCTTTATGGGTGTTGTATATTTTGTTTAAGTACATTACTAAACATCCCCAGAGGGCTAACCTTGAGTTCTGGTTGTTGTCTGGTTATTTTAGTTCATTACACCCCACATTTCTCCCACCTTCATCTAGTTTACCTTGTGTGCACAGGCACAGGCATTTACGTCTCCTCCTCAGACGAACTACACCCGAGGGGAGAACGTAACAGTGCCTGATGTCACCCCTCATCTCTGATTCTCCGCTGTATCAATATCAAGTGTGTCTATAGGGTAATTAGTATGGTCTCAATCTAATGATCCATAGCCTATAGGCTATGAAGCACTGAGCAAAGTTATATTTCTAAGATAACTGCTGGGATGGTGTAAATAAAACTAGGTTGCATTACACACTGCAATGGATATTCTAACCTTGAGCCCCAGCATGCTGATCAAAAGCTGTTTTGCGTGCTGCTATACCAATGGCTGTGCTGTGTAGGCCTACGGTGGCAGTTCAGGAGGAGAGTCAAAGAAAAATGCACCTGCTAATTTTAGTAGGCATTATACATTTCAACCATCTTCATTTTAATTACACTTTGTTAACAAGAGGGCTTTGTGTTGGAGCCGATTTCTTCCAATTTAAGAAATACGAGGTAGGCCTACCTGTTTGACAGATGAAATTAGGCTATAGACTGCCATATCCATAGATTTGTCGGTCAATTCCTCCACCAACCATGCACTCTTTGAATAGGTTACCTCCGTGTCAGTGAAGGGCTGTTAAGTTAAAATCAAGACTCGACTTGAGGGGGTGTTAGAGGGTATGCCATAAGCCGACCTTTTATTTTTTTAAATGTTGTTAGCTTAATCCGATTATATAAACTGATCTATAACAGCGCTTTGGTCCGCAATGCTTTATGCTAGAAAAAAGCTGTAAAATACGCGGGAAAGACGTGACTCCGATGCATATGGGGATATCATTATTTAGTTTATTTGACATTGAGGCTGAGCTACAACCTTCTATAGCCAAGGAGACAAAAAATAGAAATTGCTTGGGAAGTAATCTAATTTTGTCACTATCAATTTATTAAGCTATTCACTTTCTGTACAGTAGATGTTTAAACCCAGACAGCTTTTAGGGAAACACTTGTGACCTTCTCTCGTTGGGTTAAGCCACGGAAGAAGAGTAGCCAGCAGTTAAATCGTACATTTTTCGGTAGGCCTACTCTGTCTGGGGTGTAAGGTAGGCAACATGGCTGCCTAAGTATGATCCCCAATCAGAGACAACGACCGACAGCTGCCTCTGATTGGGAACCACACCCGGCCAACATAGAAATATATAAATTAGATTTCACACCCTGACCAACCCAACTAGAGATCACAATGTCAGGGCGTGACAGTACCCCCCCCAAAGGTGCGGACTCCGGCCGCAAAAACCTGACTCATTAGGGGAGGGTCCGGGTGGGCATCTAGCCTCAGTGGCGGCTCCGGCTTCGGACGTGACGTAGGCAGTAAACTCTTCCCCCATCCTGCCTCCCCTTTGTACGCCCGGTCCGGTCTGGACCCCGACGCGATGCTCCCCCTCTCAGTCCTCCCACAATGCACCAAGTCCTGTCTGGACCCTGGTGTAGGAGCCCTCAACCCTGGAGAGGGGCTGACGTCTGGTCCCAGCCCAGCAGTCCTCCCAAGATGCACAAAGTCCTGTCTGGACCCTGGTGTGGGAGACCCCGACCCTGGAGAGGGGTTGACGTCTGGCTCTGGCTCGGACCCCGGTGGAGCGGATGGCTCCGGCATGGGGGAAGAGTAGATGACCGGACCCGGACTGGGCACCGGTGAAGCGGACTGCCCCGGCTCTGGTAGGGAGCAGATAACCAGAGCTGGACTAGGCACCGGTGGAGCGGACTGCTCTGGCACTGGAGTGGAGCAGCTGACCAGAGCTGGACTAGGCACCGGTGGAGCGGACTGCTCTGGCACTGGAGTGGAGCAGCTGACCGGAGCTGGACTAGGCTCCGGTGGAGCGGACTGCTCTGGCACAGGAGTGGAGCAGCTGACCGGCGCTGGACTATGCACGGGTGGAGCGGACTGCTCTGGCACTGGATTAAAGCAGCTGACCGGGGCTGGAGGCTCTGGACTGCAGACCGTCGCAGGAGGCTCCGGGCCATGGACCATCACTGGAGTCTTCGGGCCATGGATCATCACAGGAGGCTTCGTGCCATTGATCATCACTGGAGGCTTTGTGCCACGGACCATCACTGGAGGCCCTGGGCCATGGACCATCACTGGAGGCCTCGGGCCATGGATCATCACTGGAGGCCTCGGGCCATGGATCACCACTGGTGGCTTCGTGCCCTGGATAATCACTGGAGGCTTCGTGCCATGGATCATCACTGGAGGCTTCGTGCCATGGACCACCACCGAAGGCTTCGCGCCATGGACCATCACTGGAGGCTTTGGGCCATGGATCATCACTGGAGGCTTCGTGCCAGTGCGAGGAGCAGGCACAGGTCCTACCGGACTGGAGACACGCACCACTAGTTTGGTGCGAGGAGCAGGTACGGGCCCTACCGGACTGGAGACACGCACCACTAGTTTGGTGCGAGGAGCAGGCACGGGGCGCACCGGGCTGGAGACATGCACCACTGGTTTGGTGCGAGGAGCAGGCACGGGCCGTACCGGGCTGGAGACACACACCACTGGTTTGGTGCGAGGAGCAGGCACGGGCCGTACCGGTCTGTGAAGGCGCCCTGGCGGCACAGTGCGTAAAGCCGGCGCATAGCCTGGTGCCTGCACGGTCACTCGCTCCTCAAAGCGAGTCCGGGGAGTTGGCTCTGCTAAACCTGGCTCCGCCAGCCTCTGCTCTAAGGACCGAGCTCTCTGCTGCTGGAGGGTTAACTCCTCTCTCAGCTCCTCCTGTTGCCTGGTCAGCTGCTCCACTCCAGTGCCAGAGCAGTCCGCTCCACCGGTGCCAAGTCCAGCTCCGGTCAGCTGCTTCACTCCAGTGCCAGAGCAGTCCGCTCCACTGGTGCTAAGTCCAGCTCTGGTTATCTGCTCCCTACCAGAGCCGGGGCAGTCCGCTTCACCGGTGCCCAGTCCAGGTCCGGTCGTCTACTCTTCCCCCATGCCGGAGCCATCCGCTCCACCGGGGTCCGAGCCGGAGCCAGACGTCAACCCCTCTCCAGGATCTCCCACACCAGGGTCCAGACAGGACTTGGTGCATCGCGGGAGGACTGCTGGGCCGGGACCAGATGTCAGCCCCTCTCCAGGGTCGAGGGCTCCCACACCAGGGTCCAGACAGGGCTTGGTGCATTGTGGGAGGACTGAGAGGGGGAGCATCGTGCCGGGGTCCAGACCGGACCGGGCGTGCAAAGGGGAGGCAGGATGGGAGAAGAGTTTACTGCCTACGTCACTTCCGAAGCCGGAGCCGGAGCCGCCACTGAGGCTAGATGCCCACCCGGACCCTCCCATAATGAGTCCGTACCTTTGGGGGGGGGGGGGGGGGTACTGTCACGCCCTGACATTGAGATCTCTAGTTGAGTTGGTCAGGGTCTGAAATCTAGTTGATATATTTCTATGTTGGCCGGGTGTGGTTCCCAATCAGAGGCAGCTGTCGGTCGTTGTCTCTGATTGGGGATCTTACTTAGGCAGCCATGTTGCCTACCTTAGTTGTGGGATCTTGTTTCTGTTTGATGTTTAGCCTCTTGCACTTCACGTTCTGTTGGATTTTGT